CCCCCTCTTTCCCCCCCCTGGACTCGAGGTGCATGTCCATGGTTCGATTCATTATCAACAGCTCCAGTTTACGTTCACACCGTCGTAAACGCGAAGAACCCTGGCCCTGCTTGGACTGATATTGGTCACGAAAAACAAAAGAAAACTGCGACCCCTCCCGCTGGTCCATCATTTGCAGCTCGTGCTTGCAGCCCGCTTCGCGCCTGGTTTCACTTGACAACGCCGGCAATTTACGTCCATGTAACTTCAACTATCCCGCTTGCATCTGGGCCTCCGATTCCTCCTATTCCTGCCGTCCGATTCAGGACTTTAACTCTCGATTCTGTCTTTATTATCAAGCGTCTACTCCGAAACCGCTGGACCCAAGACGACATGTCGACGCCGGCTGCGACCCCTGGCGCTGGCCAGCCAAACCGGGAGAGCAACAATGGCGATCTTGTGCCATCCTCGTCGCAGATGGGCTATGAGACGGCTGATGGGAGCGGAAAAAAAAGACGCCCATTCCAAGACGGTTTTCTCACAACGAGACTCGCACGCGGACTCGGATGTCGATGCCACCGCCGCAGATGAAGGTCATACTGAAATCGGCGTTAGCAGGGTCGAGGCCTTCAACAAGGTCCTGTACCAGTCGGGCAAGTCGGGCAAGATCTTGCTCTGGCTGCTGGGCATCTCCATCGGCCTGACCATGTTTGCCTATGCCCTCGACCAGAGCATCACCTCCAGTATCTTCACCACGATGGCCAGTTCCACCTTCGGCCAGCACAGCTCGCTCGCCGCCGTCAGCACAGCCAGCCAGATCATCCGAGCCATCAGCAAGCCCTTCATCGGCAAGCTGGCCGATATCACATCCCGCCCGACCACCTACGTCGTCATCCTGGTCTTCTACGTCGTCGGCTTCGCCGTCGCCGCCAGTGCGAGCACCTTTGCCGCCTACACGGTGGGCATCTGCTTCACCTCGGTCGGCAAATCCGGCCTCGACTTGTTGAGCGACATCATCGTCGGTGATCTGACCCCACTCCAGTGGCGCGGTTTCTTCGGTGCCGCCTTGTCAATCCCCTTCATCATCACCGTACCTGTCAATGGTTTTATTGCGGAGGCCTTTGTCGACAACTGGCGATGGGGCTTGGGCATGTTCGCCATCCTCGTACCTGTCTTGCTCGTGCCAGCCATCTTCACTCTGTACTCGATGCAGCGCCGGGGAGAGAAGATGGGCATGGTCACCATGGCCGCTTCAAAGCGTCTGAGGACGGGGGACGGTGTGGTGGCCTCCGAGGAGCCTACAACTAATTCCACCGGTGCTGCCTACTGGATGAAACTCCTTTACCAGGGCCTGGTGGACATCGACATCATCGGGCTCGTCATTCTCGGTACATCCTTCTCGCTCATCCTGCTGCCCTTCACCCTCGCCAAGGAGGCCGATGGCGGTTGGGCCAACGGGAGCGTGATCGCCATGCTCGTCGTCGGCTTCGTCCTGCTCGGTGCTTTTGTTCTATTTGAAGTGTACGTCGCGGCGAAACCGCTCATGACAAAGCGTATCCTCCAAAACCGCACGTTCCTGGCCTCCGTCACCATCTACACCTTCAACCAGATGGCCTCGGCAACCCGGAACACCTACCTGTCCTCGTACGTGTACATCATCAAGGAGTGGACCGTCTACGAGTGGACCATCTTTTTGGGCATCACGACCATGGGTCTCAGCATCATGGGGCCCATCGTGGGTCTCATCCAGAGGAGCACTCATCGATACAAGTCCATGATGGTCTTTGGCGCCGCCGCCAGGCTGATCAGTTACGGCATCCTGGTCCAGAGCAACGGCAACATGGTGCAAGACACGGCTCGCCTGATCGTCGCGCAACTGGTATTTTGCCTCGGTTCCTTCAACGTCGTCGGCGCCCGCGTGGGCAGCCAGGCCTCTGTGCCACACGAGGACATGGCCTCCATCATCGCCCTGCTCACGCTGTGGTCCACTCTGGGCTCGTCCATCGGCAGTGCCGTCTCGTCGGCCATCTGGACGAGCGAAATGCTCGACCGCATGCATCTGGAGATGCCCGGCGTGGACGAGGCGACCATCGCCAAGCTCTACGGAAACATCAAGACGCTGCGCACCGCGTACGACTTTGCTGACCCAGTCAGGCAAGGCGCCATCCGCGCGTATGCGTACGTCAACGGCCACATCGCCACCACGGCTCTGGTCATGGCTGCGGTTCCGCTGATCGCCACTTTCTTTATGCCCGACTTTTACCTGGGCAACCAGCAGAACGCCGTCACGAACTTGGGTCTGGACGGCGAGAGGGTCGATGTGCCGGAGCGGGCTTCGGAGGATCAGATGGGGGCTAAGAAGACTTCGAAGCCGTTTTATCGCAGGCTGATCGATGGTTATTACAAGGATCGTGTGTAGAGCACTTGGTGCCATGGGTGTCCCTCGGGCTGAGTAATGGACATGTCCTTGGTTCGGCATGTGAGGTGGCAAGGCGCGTAATTGTTTTATGACGGTTGTCTTCCAAGCGAAAAAGAGGAACCAACCGTTGGTTAGGTACCTTGGTTATATGTCTCTAGGTGCCTAGCTACATCATCTTAATGCTTCTGAGTTCGCAATTCCCGTAGAACCCTTACAGTCTTTCAGGTACCTATTTACATAAGTGATTTTCTTCCGCGTGGAAGTACCGCCGTACCCATCCATTGTGTAACCCGAATTCTGGATGCGGCCTGGTGAGTCATCTGCTCTGGTCTATTGATCTGGGCGGCGACTTGTCGGTATCGAAGAAAACAAGAAGCTAAGATAGTGGGAAGGGCTGAAAGCGTATTTGGCATATAGGGATGAGTGTCCTTGAGACCGATCTTCATCATCCATCCTTGTGTATAGGGCCTTGATGGTTGGTATCATGATGACTCCTTGCCGTTGAGGAATTGGGTACATGTACATGTAGATGTCACTGGGGCTTATCGGAAAGTCGTGGAAGAAATGGAATCAGGATGGAAGCAAGTACCCGATGTACAACTGGCACTTTCGTTAATCCGGCAGCATTATTCACAGGCCCTTTCCACAGACATCAAACACAGCAAAAAAAACTTGGAGCCCCAGACAACAGCGACGTTTGGCCACACAACACACTTGTTCCAACCCCCAAAGCTTTACTGCTCTGCCTGGGAAGAGAACGAACAGTCTGGAACCCTGCGAGAGTCTTGGGCATACATTGCCATCACTTTCCCACAACCAGACCACACTTCATCAGACCTCCAATCTTGACTCTTTCTCGTCGTACTGCTCTACAACCATCTCCGACCGGGCATCAAACAATCTCAAAATGCCTGGTGAGTGGGAACCAATAAAAGTTACGACCGTCAGGGGCATGACGACGATGTTCTTTTCGACTGGCAATGGCAATCCCACGGCCGAAGACATGGAGGATGCGATGACGGATCTGATGGCCAAGCTCGATGCGGCTTCCACGGCCAACGTTGCCTCTTCCACAACCGACGATATGGCTTCCACGACCAACAATGCCGCTCTCGCGACCCCTCAGGTACCCACCATCGCCACCGAAAAGCCACTCATCGAGCGCTTTCTTGTCTTTGACGACAGCGGCCGACTTCTGATCGACGTTGTTAACAAGAACGACGACGGACCACACGGCAAATCGACGCGCCGCCACAGGTGCTCTCTCGACGCCATGAAGCGGGCGTCGCCCGCGTGGAAGAGCAAGATATTCGGGTCTGAGGGCGAGGAGCGACCGGAGCTTGCCACCGACGACGAGGACTGGGCCGTCGTGCTGGACGACGATCCACCCCGGGCCATTACCATGCAGCTCGCCCTCATCCACGAGCGGCCGGAGCTGGTGCCCCGGTTTCACAACAACCCCGACACCCAGGGCGTCTGCATGTTCATCTACGAGTTCATGACCACGGCCGACAAGTACGGCGTTCTGCCCCTCTTCCGGCCCTTCGTTTCCCACTGGCTGCCGCACGCCCGCCCGACCTCTGAGGACATGGATCGCCATTACGTGCACCGCATGGAAGCGGCCTGGCAGCTGGGCGCCGTCGGGCTAGTGCAGGATCATGTCCGGAAGCTGGTCTACCATACCATCGTGACGCCGGAGCTTCTGGACCAGGCGCGCGCCAGGTCGCTCTTGGCCTGCAAGGACGGCTTCTTAACATCACTTCCCGGGTTGTTCGACACGGTGGGCAAGCGCCAGCGGGAGTTGGTCCAGTCCCTCCTGGACTTTTTCCATGAGTTCTTAGCGGACCTGCGCGGCGAGGAGGGGATCTGCCAGCAGGCTCTGCCTGGCACACCGGAGCACGAACGATGCAACGCCGGGCTCGAGGAGTTCGTCTCGAAGCGTATGGAGGAGCCGACTTCCCCGAAGATCCCGCTGGACGCCAAGGACTGCCCTCTGACCATCCATCAGTTGCTGCACATCACCACCCATATCATGGGCGTGTCTTGCAAGCGGCCCGGGGCCGAAGCAGGTCGACCGGCACAAGTGCGTCTCGAATCTCCACAAGCGGATCGTCGACCTCGGCAAAGAGTTGCTTGGCCGCTGGAAGGGAGAGCAATCCATCCTGGAGCCGGAGCAGCTAGAGTGGCTCACGAAGCGTGGCGAGATCCTGGGGACGGAGACTTCCTCTGTTTGATGTGTGGGATCTTGTGGTGGTCGTCACAGAGGGAACTGCGTGCGGGGGTGTGTCACTCGGGGATGAACAGACATGGTTCCCTCTCAACTGGAATCAAGTGACAATCTACATGTATCTTACCCTTGAGAGATAGAGCCCAGACCTGCCTAGTTAGTTCCCTGCTTGTGCCATAACCCACGATTATGAGACTTACCTATCTACCAAGGACCTAACTGTGTTTTGTGACCCCGCGTGATATTGTCATGGAACATGGTGCCGCTGCCCTTCACGATTACTCAGTTATGTGATTAAGCGGTGTTTGTTTAGAATGGATGAATGCGGTACCTCAGGTACCGGAGATACGTACCTGTGAAGGCGGTGACCTTATCAGAAGAAAAGAAACCCATGGAAAGACGGCCAGGCAATCAACAAGCAAGTATCCGAATGCCAGCCGGAAATTCCCTTATCCGGCAACTTTGTTGACAACCATAGGCTCCTGGAGGAACCAGCTCAGGGGGCCAACGTCATCATCTAAAGGAAGTTTTTGGAATCCCCGTGGCAAACACCAGACAACACAGCTGAAGCGATACTGACCGCAATATCCAACGCACCACACACTGGATTTGTCCTGCGCACCAGATCTTGACTTTTCTCACGAGAAGCGAAAGAACAGCAGCGGAGTTATCACAAATCCTCTCACGCAAATCCCGGCGCTTCCCACAGCAAACGGAGAAGTAATCGGTAAGCAGACCACACTTTCCTCAGAACTTCCATCAGCCTTTATTTCTGCTCATTTCATCGTGCTGATCCACCTCCCTCCTCAGCCAGGTAGTCATCAACGCACCGAAAATGCCTTCCCTATCCTTCCTGACCATCGGGAACACACGGGTCAAGGTTCACACTACCTACGATGCCAACACTCCCCCGACCCCCCAGGCCCCCCTCGCCGCCGAAGAGCTCCCCATCCAGGAGATTATTCTCGACAAGACCGGTCGACTTCTCATCGACGTCGTCGACAACACGCCCCGCGGCAAACAGACGTACCGCCACCGGGTCTCTCTCGACACCATGAAGCAGGCCTCGCCGGTCTGGAAGGAAACGATCTTCGGCCCTGAGGGCCAGGAGCTGGAGATGAAGCCCACCGCCAACGACCACGACCACGACCACGACCACGACCACGACCGTCTTGTCGTGCTGCCCGCCGACGACGAGCCAGTGCCCATCCTCGTGCAGTTAGCCCTCATCCACGACCAGCCGCGGTGGGTGCCGACGTGGTCCGACCCGGCCACGCCGGGCTCCAGCGCGCAGATCGCCAAGATCGTCACCGCCGCCGCCAAGTACGGCGTCCTGCCCCGCCTGCGGCCCTGCGTCCCCGACTGGCTGCTGCACGCCCGCCCGCCCGCCCGCATCGGCGGCCAGGACGACGTCGACTCCGACATGATGGACCAGCTGAACGTGGCGTGGCAGCTGGGTGACGCGCGCCGCGTGGAGGTGTACATCCGCAAGCTGGCCTTCGACTCGAACCTCGCGGCGGAGGTGGCGGAGGACGGGCTCGTTGAGGTGGGCGACTGCCCAGTCGATCGGTTCCCCGCGCTGCCGGCGCTGATGGGCGTGGCGGCCAGGCGCCGGGAGGAGGGTATCCAGGCGTGTCTGGACTTTGTGGCCGGGCTGGTCGATGATCTGGACAGCGACGAGGGGGTCTGCCGGCGGCCCATGTGGGACCCTACCATCATCCTGGGGTACACCCCCGAGGCGTTCGCCGCCTTTGAGTGGAGGGCCGGGCCCGCTGTCGACCACCACAAGATCGATCGCGACTTGTGCGGGGTTATGCTCAACATGGACATCACGAAGCGTCTCCAGGACGAGGGGCCGATCCCGGAGCTGGCCAACGACTTCCACTCGAGCATTACCCACCTGCTGTACAAGATCCGCCGTGTCCATGGCATTCAAGATGGTGCCGCCCCCATACTTCCCGTCCCGGGCCATGCGTGCCTCCAGCGCCTGCAGACGAAGTTCGAGGACTTTGCGGCAGAGCTGCGCGGCCGTTGGTCGGGGACCGCATCCATCCTTGAGGCGGACCAGGTTGAGTGGCTCAAGACGCGTCGCGACATGTTGGCGACGGGTGGCTCTTCTTAAGTGGGATTGCATGTTGGTGGAGGAGAACATGAAGTGTTGGGACCCCGGGGATGACTGGAATGAACCAGGTCCGACTGATGTACACATCATGTATCTTAGCTAAATGTCAACCCACTCACATGTACGTAACCCATGAGAAGTAGAAAAGAGTCCTGTCAATCTACCGAATGTAAATTTTTATTCAGGTTTGCCAAGAGACTATCGCGTCTTCCCACCAAGCAGTGTAAGTCAGCTTCCCAATCCCGCTCTCAGACTCCCCCCAGTACTAAGATTCGTCACCGCATCACCGCGTCCTCTATCCTCGCGTGTTCCTTTGTTGCCCCTCCCATAAACCTATCAACTCATCAGGCATGACGAAGCAATCCCGACGCCCGTCTAAGCGAGCCGCCTCAGTCTCCGGTCTTTTTTTTCTTCTTTCATGCAAGTTCTGGTCTAATAAGACATTGTCGTTTTCCAGTCTGGTTATCCAAAAAGGGTGCCCGATACAGGGCATTAGAGTTTGAGCCTCGTCAGTTCTCTTCGGTTGAAGTAACATGGGCATCTATGATGGATTTGGAGTTGGAGTCTCGGGTACATGTATCTATGGTATAAGGCGTGTGGGTTTGGAGTTTGGCGGGCGTCACGGTTGGCTCGGAGGCTGGGCATATACCCGGGGGTTTGTTTGCACCTATTCACGGTCTGCCTGGGGTCCACGCACTTCGACACCTCCTCGAGATGCTGAGCAGGCGTTCCTACATGTAGACAGCGGTAGGGGAGTGGGGACAGCCTTGTCACCAACTTGGCTCCCCGACTTCACAATGGAATCCTGGGCTCTATGCCTGGAGGAACGTACGAGGAACGAGTACTGCCGAAAGGTTCCTTTGCCTGTGACTGGAGGAACGTACGAGGAACGAGTATTTCCGAAAGGTTCCTTTGCCTGGAGGAACGTACGAGGCTGCGTTGTGACGTGAATTAAATCAGTCGGGCTAGGCGAGTAAAAGCCATGGCTTTGGGGTAGATCCTTGGTCTTCGGTCGGCTTGAAAGGCAGGAGGTACCATCGGCGGCATCCCGGCATCTTTATACACAATGGTTCTCTTCCTCTAACACTCAACCCGGATGTGGGTTACCGCAATGAAGCCTGGCAGCAACTCACGTCAACCTTCCTATCTCCCCAAGGAATGGCGATCCATGCTACGTGTTTCTGAAAATTGGCAAAGTCCATAGAGCGAGAGGCAGCAGTCATAATCAGCGGTGTTTCACGCCCGCCGCATGCAATTTGGGACGAAGTGCCCCCGATGTACCACGGTCTCCACAGCACGGAACAGGCGGCGACATTGTTGGTGATAAGCACTAACCTCGGTTTATTGGCGTGCCAAGCCATACCTATATCCCAGCGGTCTGCAAGGTCATTGAGAAAAGGGGTCGCGGATGCGGGGTTGGCGCGCATGCTTCCTCCCATTGACATCATACATCTCAGGGGGATGGAATCTTCACTTCCGGCTCAAACAGGTCAACTATCGTCTTAGTCACCGGCTGATCCAACGTGGGCTATACATTACTCTTCCGGGCCATGTCCTTCTCCGAATTCCATAACCGCGTATCTACGGACCCAATTGTCGCCGCATTCCGAGACGCTGGCGGCGGCGAGCCGACACCCGAGGTCGCAAACACTCTCGTGCAGACGGCCCTTGTTATGGGGACTGAGGTGGGCGCGACTGGGCACTCAACAGCTGGGGGTGAATGGTTCCGCGAGGAGGTCTTTGAAGGGGTGATTAGTCGGGTTCTGGGAGCGGACTTGGTCGATCACCTGCTCTCTCGCGAGCTGGAAGGTGTCCTCTGGAACGACTATCCGATGATTGGATGGGTGATGAATGGCGAGCTGCGCGAGGGGCTGGCTCGGGTACGTGGTGACCTGATTCATGACCTGGAGGAGGACGATGCCGAGGTAGTTGAGGCTGTTCTCACGGCGCTGAGGGCCGCAGCTGAAGCGGATGAGGACCTCGTTACAGTTTACAGATGACATATGTGTCGTACAAGAGGGTGCTTCCATGTCGAAAGCGACTGAAGCCAGAAATGGTGTCAGATACGCAAGTCAAGGTCGGGTTAAATGCATGCAAGGCAGACCGGAAGGCAGTTAAGCGACTGCACGAGCAAGCCAATCAGGGCCTCTCCGCCGTCAACTTCATTTTCTCATTTGGCGCCCAACTGCCCAACATTTGATCAAGGGGAACACTTTGTAGGTACGGGATCGCATTCTGCCCCAAGCACGCAATGAGAAACCCAAAAGGGGGGGTAAGCAGCAACTCAACATCGTTAAGATCAGGAGTTCAGGGGTATACCATATTGCGCACCAGCCCTACGCAACTTAAACCGGAACAACCCTCCCCCCTCCAGTCACAAACCCCGCCCTACCCTACCTACCCTACCACTGCCTACCTACTCGGCCCATCCATCACAATGAGGCTCCTCGAAACCGCCCCGGCCGCGGTCCCCAAACTCCACGAATTCATTGGCTCCCACACCCCGGCCTACGCCATCCTCTCGCACACCTGGGACGCCGACGAAGTCACGCTCCAACAGCTCGCCGCCGCCGACCTGTTCGCCCTGCGCGGCAGCGCGCGTTTTGACAAAATACAGGGGGCCTGCGCGCTGGCCCGCACGCGCGATGCGCTCGACTACGTGTGGGTCGACACTTGCTGCATCGACAAGACGAGCAGCGCCGAGCTGTCCGAGGCTATTAATTCCATGTTTGCGTGGTATCGCGACGCGGCGGTGTGCTATGTGTATCTGAGCGACCTCAAGCCGGGCGAGTTCCGGGATTTGTTTAGGGACTTGCCTGCGTGTCGCTGGTTCACGCGGGGATGGACACTGCAGGAGTTGGTGGCGCCAAGGAAGGTCTTGTTCTTTGACCGGGAATGGAATTATCGGGGGAGTAAGAAAGAGCTGGCGCAGCTTCTTGAGACGATTACGAATATTCCCATGGCGGTGCTTCGCCACGAAGCGGAGTTGAACCATTTTGCAGTGGCGCGGAGGATGTCTTGGGCCGCGAACAGGGAGACTACGCGGGTGGAGGACGTGGCGTATTGCCTCCTGGGAATCTTTGACGTCAACTTGTCCCTCATCTACGGCGAAGGTATCAAGGCCTTTGCCCGGCTCCAGGCTGCGATTCTCCAAAGCACCCCGGATTTGAGCATCTTTGCCTGGGTGGACTACTCGATCACCCGTCGTGAATATGCCGGTATCCTGGCTAACGGTCCCGCACAGTTTGCCCACTGTAAGGAAATGGGAGCGGCGGTGGGAGACTTGGCCCACGCTAACTTCACCATGACAACAAGGGGGATACAAACAGACGCCAGCCTGATTTCGGCCAGGAGCCATGAAACAATGAGGTCGGCCGTTGTCCTGGATACTCGTTGTCTTATGGGAGGTATATTCATCGGGGTGCATATCCGGAAGATTGGCGGCAGCTTGTATGCCAGGTTCAAGCCTTATACACTGTTTAGGGCGGACGAAGCTTCTTCTAGCTGGGAGTGGACATCGGTTGAAACGCTGACTCTGGCCACCAACCTCCCCACACGGTTCCCCTTCCATACAGGCATCGATCCTGTGGTGGGAAACAGGTGTTCGACTCTCCGCGTCATATTCCGGCCGTTTAACGAAAGGAACGCTCAACAAATGCCCAGAAGCCACTTCGACACTGAGCAAGGAGCCTTCTTTTCCTGTGACCCCGACACCAAAGGGTGGTGCGCGTGTGTCAAGGAAGGAAGCTTGACTGGCGGGAGTGTTCATAACATCAACAGCAATGTTGATTTGACGCTGTTCTTTGCCTGCTTTGGGTGGGACACCGAGACTCCCGTTGTTGTGTTGGCGAGTCTTAACGGGATGAACCCCGCGACGGGAATGTTGTTAAAGTCTCTCCTAACTTTCCAGTTGGGCCAGGTGAAGTTCGAGAGCTGGCGTCAGGCACAAGATCTTGTCCTTGGTGCCTTCGGGGACAACCTGGTGTATAGGGGACCGGTACTGACGAACTCCAGGACAATATACTTGTACGAGGGATCCAGCCCGTGGACTCAACTACATTCCTTCTTCCGGGTGCAGCTCAAAATGTGGAAAGAGATTCACCGCGACGTTTCTTTCTATCCAACCACGATGTTTGAGATCTTTTTTTCACTTGATGTCACGTCACTTCAGCCTCTACGGTTGATGTTGGAACCATAGGATGGATCACTGGGAGCACTGGATGACTGCGCAATGGCCTCAATTCATGATGTGTTGTCTTGATCCAACTGTGGGAAACTCGCCCCTGGTTCGAAGATTATTTACGTGGTTCTGTGGGGGCCAATTTCCACTCGCAGTTTCCGCCCGGATACCCGGTGGTTCTGACAGTTGATAGTGACATAGTTAGTAACTTTACCTCCCTATGTAGCATATAGCCGGTTTCCCCAACGGAAGGATGCCTATTCTCGTATCCCTCGTATTGGCTCCAAGTGGAAAGGAATTGCCTGAGAGCGCTGAACACCGCATTACTTACTTCCTTACGTTATAGTTATTCTATTTGAACTTCCGTGATTTATTTCCCTGGGTCCATTCTTTTTACTTTCCTCTGTTCCGTTCACTTTCCCTCTTGCCAAACGGTGGCGACTGATCCTCGAGTCTCTCGATATCCAGTGTGTGCTTCACGAGCACAAGGTAAAGAGCTAATAATTACGGAAGGGGTCCCGGTACTATTCTCTGCCCCCGAAGACGACCCGCTTGACCTCCTCCATTCCGGCACGCCTCAAACTTTATCATATACCCCTAAATTCAAGCCGGGGATATCCCAAGGCCATCATCAATGCCCACCATCTTCTGCAACGCCTCGCTATACCGCGCCCCCTTAGGCTTGGCCTCCTCGACGATGCGGCGCATCTCGGCCATCTCGGCCTCGGTCAGCTCCACGTCGCGCGACGCCCAGTTCTCCTCCAGCCAATGGGCCTTGGTCGTGCCGGGGATGGCGATGAAACCCTGCGCGGCGACCCAAGCAAGGGCGACTTGTGTGGTGGCGCAGCCCTTTTTGGCGGCCAGCTTCTGCAGCTCGCGGACGATGGCGCGGTTGTTGTAGAAGTTCTCGCCTTGGAACTTGGGGACTATGAGTGGGTGGCGTGATCATTAGTATGTCTGATGCTTGTTACGGTGGTTTAAGCTGTTTAAGCAAGGGGACATTTGGGAGACGGAACGACGGAAACTCACTGCCGCGGCGGCCGTCGGTGGGACCAAAGTCGTCGGGGCTGTTGTACGCAAAGTCGTCCACTAGCCAACCATGTCCCAGCGGGCCATAAGCCACGTAGGCCACGCCGAGGTCTCTGGCGGCATCGATCAGGCCATCCGTCTCATGTAGCGTGTCGAAAGCAGAGAACTCGGCCTGGACGGCGTCGATCTTACTGCTTGCCTTGTATCACGGTGCGGACCTTGGGTCATGGTGATGATCTCTGTTGCACCATAAAGAGGTGAAGAAGCTAAGGAGCTAGTTAAGGGCTTGGCTATAACTAAGGTGAAGATGGAGCATGGACCACCGGATTACATAACCTACTAGGTAGGGGTTGGTTCCGTGACACCTTGGCTCTTCTGATCTGTCATAGCGAAGGCCGGTGTACAAAGAGGTCCCGTTCTGTGGATGACCCACCGAAAACCGGGCTTGCCCCTCCATCTGCCTTCCTTGCCCCGCATTTGGCTCGGGATGGCGACCGTCTTGCTCTTGACTAAGATGGTGCCGTTGGGGAGCCCGGGGATGGCGAGGCCCGCACTATCGTCCGACTGGAGGAGGACGGCCACGGGTGGCCCGAGGTGGAAAGTCACGTCGTTGGCGAGGGCGATGGTGCCACAGGCGAGGTCGGGGAAGATGTCGACGGCCTTGAAAGGCGCCCCGTTGACGACCTTCAGCCCGACAAACTGGTTGCGAGTCACCACGACCGGCATGCCTTGCGCGTAGAAGAAGAGGCCGGGATGGATGGATGGATGGAATTTATTTCGCCCGGAGGCACTGGGCCTATAGGGCCTTAGCACGCTAACTACATCCGGATCAAATCGTTTTGCCTTCAACTCGTACAAGCCCCCTACTTCTTCCCTCTTTCTCGCTGCACCATTTACCTCTTGCCTTGGTTGTTGTTAGCAGATCAGCTTGGAGGCTACTTTCTCCAAGTGTTCAGCGTCCTATCTTCAGCAGCTAAAGCGGGACCTGCTGGTTAAGGCTCGTGGTTGAGGCTCGTGGTGTTGAGTGTCGGCTTCTTCTACTGTGACTGGTCTAGACTCTCCCCCTCATTCAGCTCCAGCCTTCCTGTTGCCATTGCGTATTTGATCGTCGCCCGGACTGCCTTCATATCTGGTGACCAATGCCTTGTATCCGATGGCGCTTTCCCTCCCAGATAGAACGAGAGGCTTCCTCGTCTTGCCACTGTGCATTGCAGCATGTCTTCCCTCAGAGCTGTCCATCTCACGCATCGGAAAAGAAAGTGTTCCACTGATTCCCTCGCTTGTCCACAGGCACAAAGGTCTGACTCGACCGCCCCAATCCTGCTCAAAAAACCGTTCAGTCTCGCCATTCCGGGTTCGGAGCTGCGCCAATACGCAGGCCTCCTTTCGCTTCAGCTTGTCATAGAGATGGCGCGTGTGCTTGCCTGGTAGTGCTGCGTCCATGGCCTTTGAGAACTTGCCCACGCTTACAGGTAGAACTCTTGTCGCCCGTTGTCTTTCCATTGCCAGCCTCATCGCGGTAGACTTGACCTGGGGTATTTGGGAGTCGGGTGTGCGTCCTTGCTTCGACGCTCTATGGGCTGCTGCCTTGGCATCTGACCCCAGCGCGAAGTCAATCTCCGCTGGTATCCACAGAAAGTTGACCGAGTTCCCTCTTTGTCGGTGCAGCCTGGCCAAGTCGTAGATTTGCCGTATGATGCTTTGGCCGGATTGCTGCCGCGGCTGTCCAACTGCTGCCAGCGCTGACTGGTTCCTAGTGATCACGGTGATGTGCCTGTGGCAGATGCTAGCCGGTAACTTCTCCAGGGCCATTGCGATGGCTGCTAGCTCTGCTGTATATGGGTTCTGCTCTTCCCTTGTCCCAAGAACAACAGCATAGTTTGTCACAGTCTCGCTAGTTCTGTTGAAGAGAGTATCCCGTGCAAGGCCGCCCATGCCAACAATGCCCTTCTTTACGGATGAGCTGGTTGCGATCACGATTCCCGAAATTTTGTTGACCATCTCGGCCGCCTTCCCTCGATCGGCTTCGAGCGTCGGTCGTAGGCGAGGTACCCAGGGCGGGACGGCGTATTCCTGGATTGTCTCCATCCGGTCAACTCGTACTCCTTCGGCCACGCGGGCAATTTTCTGCAGCGGAGATACGAATCGTACGGTGGTCCGGACTTTCTTCGTGGCAAGGGGATGCGTTCCGGGCAGCGTGTGGATGTTGATCCACAGACTGGCTGCCGCCTGGGCGTGTCGTTCTCGTACGGGGTAGATGCTCGCTTCAGCTTCCACCACGGCTGTTGCCGCGGTTCGAAAGGCTCCCGTGATGGCCAGGGCCCCGATCTTCTGCGCCCTGTTCAGCCAGCTCAGTGCTTTTTCCCCGCACGCATGCATCCAGACATTGGCAGCGTAGTCCATGACCGGGGCTACTGTCGCAACAAATAGCTGTCTCGCTGTCCGCGGGGAAAGCATCTTCAGCCTCTTCAGGGCCAGAGCGGCTGCGAGGCCCTTAGCTGCCGTCCTAGCAATGTGCTGCTTGTAGCGGAGTTCGCGATCCATCACGACACCTAGGATTTTCGCACTTTCCTTCGGTTTGACCACTTCGCCTTTGACCGAGAACGTTTGTTCTGAAAATCGCTCCATGTTCCTCGTGAAGTGTATGATGGCTGTACTTTTCGCCTTCAAACTGCGCACCGCTCCGTTTCTCCCAGTCAAGGGCTTTGTCGATGATAGCTTGGATTCCAGTGCGGTTCGACTCCGCTGACGGGCCCGTTACCCAGGCAGTGTAGTCGTCCACAAAGGCAATTGCGCCTCCGTTCGCGTCAATCTTGTGCTGCACTAGGTCGGCGTTGAAGAAGAGGAATAACACTGGAGACAGCGGCGATCCTTGCGGAAGACCCGCTTGGGGCAGCTCTTGCCGTCCAGATGTGAACCCGTTTACGGCAATGGTCGCTGTGCGCTTGGAGCAGAAGGCGTCGATCCACTTGACCAGGGATTCAGGTATCCCTCTTGCCTTGAGCCTCTGGAGAAGCCTGTCTTTGAAGACCCCATTGTATGCGCCCTTGACATCGAAGCTGATCAGACTGAGCACTTTCCTAGCTCTCCATGCTTTGTAGATGTGTTCCTGAAGCAGAAGGAGAGCCTGTTCGGTCGAGCGTCTCTTCCTGGCTCCGAAGTGGTTGGCGGGTAGAAGGCCGCAGGTCTCCACAGCATGGGATAAACGCTCCGCAATGACTGCCTCCAGTATCTTACCCAGCGTGGAGAGCAGCGAGATGGGTCTCCAGGACTTGGCTAGAGTGTATTCGCTCTTCCCTGGCTTCTTCAATGGGATGATCTTGGCATTCCTCCACTGGCTGGGGATGTCGCCGTCTCGAAGCGACGTCCGGAATAAATGGAGCACCCTGTCTTTGACCACTGGCCAGAGCTGTCTCCATACCATTGCCGGTAGACCGTCTTCCCCGGGCGCCTTCCATGGCTTAGCGGACAGGACCTTTTGTTCTATCTCCTCCATTGTTAGGTCTGGCATGTGTACCGGCGCCCGTTGAGGTCGTTGGCCCTCGTCTTCGATTCTCGCTGGCAAAGGTGGGAAGAAGGCGGTGAGTAACTCCTGCGCTTGTTCTGCTTTACCCTCCGTGATGGAGCCATCGGGTCGGACGAGCGGGGGTATCTTATCGCCCATCGTGCCGCTGCCGGTTTGCAGGTACTTCGTTGCTTGCCAGATGTTAGCGTCATCGGCCAGGAAGTCGTTCCAATGCGAACTCTTCTGTCTGCGGATGGCGTCATGGTACTCTTTGGCTGCCATCCTGGCTCGTTGTTCGATCTCTGGTGCTGTTTGCCCAATCCTACGTCGAGATCTCGCCTGGTTTCTCCAAAACGTGTATGTCTGGCGAAGCCGTGTCAGGTCTGTTGTCCACCACCGCTTGGCGTATGGTGAGGGCTTGGCTTTAGGTGTCAGGGCGTAGACCGCCTCGGTTACCACTGCCATGAGCCTGTCCGTCTGCTGCTGGACATTGCCGTCCCAGGGGATGCGTTCGAGGTTTGCTGCCACCCTAGTCCTAATTTCCGCCCAGGGCGCGTTCTTGAAGAGGAACCTCGTCTCACTGGGGCGGTCCTCCACCGTGGTGTCAAAAGCTGTCTCGATTGCTCTGTGGTCTGAGCCATGGTCGCAGGGGTGAATCGTGCATCTGAGTAGTTGGTCTGCTAGTTCTGCAGAGGCCAGTACCAGGTCGATTGTGCTCTCAATGTCGCATGACTGGCACGTCTGCGTGCCTCTTGGGAGGAGGCTACAGAGGGAGTGTTCGTCCATGAGGTTGTTAATGCGGTCTCCCTCGCCTTGTCTCCCTGGTGAGACATCGTCCCCTCCCCAAAGCTGGTCGTGGCGGTTGAAATCGCCCGCCAGTATGATGTCCGTTCTCGTCCCTGTTCCGTTTCGAAACCTCTTAATCATTAGGTCAATCTCCCTCATTGCATCTTCCAGTGCTTTCGTCACTACCACCCTCCACATACACTGACACCAACAGCACTGCCCGGTCTGGGAGCCGGATGCGTGCTGCGGTGAGGTCTGCCGACGGCACTGGAATCTGCTCGACCTCTATATCGCTTCGTACCCATAGCATGCTCCGAATTGGCCACGTGGCTTCTCGTCTTGTCGTTGGTATCAGCTTCGTCCAGTTGTGATGACTCATTGGGACCGTCGTCACCGAGCCTTCGATCAGCCTGGCATATGGTTCGGAGATGGCTAGCACTGCGAAGTCCTTGAGTCCCTGAGGTTGCTTGACTTGTCACGGCACCAAGCCTGACCTGCTTGGGTCACGTGGGAAGCACGTGCCCACGCGACCTGGACCCACACGAGCAGCCGTATTTCCTCTCCGTTAGCGTCCCCTTGCGAGAGCTTCCTCTCTCCTTATCGCACAACTCAGTCATTAGCCAGAACCTGACCCTGTCCCGTGACTCCCCTGACCACGCCCCGTGACATGACTGGAAATTGCGATGGCAGGGCGCCAGTTGTGATCTAACAATTTAAATAGATTTGAACTGTACTCAAATCAAACTCAAATCAAATCAAACCTGGCTCCGATTTGATTTGATTTGCTTTGTTCGGAACGCTGAGATGGAGATGTGCTTGCCGTGGGCACGAGCCCACTGGACGACGGCCGCCATGTTCAGGTCCCACCGGTCTTGGTTCAGAGGCGTGATGGCTCTCAAGCCATCTACGAAGGAGGACTCGCACGGCGGTGTATAGAGGCGTTGGCTCAGCCGCTGGAAGTCCAGCTCGGTCTGCTCGCCACTGCGCAGGCGCTGGAGGAAGCCCCGCAGCCTTGGACAGCCGGCCGCGCGGACCTGTTCGCGGAGGATGACGACGGCCGTGAACTGGAGGAACAGCTTATGCGCAGCTAGGTGCCTTGCAGCGCTCTCTGGTCTCTGTCCGCCGCGGTCCCTAGGCGTTGGCAAGAGGAGGCTGGTCTGCAGGACGGGGTCGAACCGGAAGAAGTCACCAAAGAACAAGACCATTGGGATCCCGCTAAACGGTCGATGCTGATCATCCCTGTACTGCTTCAGGCGGCTGTCCACCGCCGCGAGCGTGAGACCACCCACCTGGCTAATCTCGTCGACGATCAACATGACCATATTTTTCCAACGCAGCTTCTCTTCTTCCGAAACGTTCCTTGCCACCTCGCTCTTGCCCTCGAATCCAATGTTCGTCGCCGAGTGCAGCGTCACCCCGCCGATCAGCGCCGCCGCGTTGCCGCTGGCGCCCGTCAAGAGCAGGGTGTGGAGACCATCCTTCAACCGGAAACATATCGTGAATTGCATGAATGACGCGAGATTTGCCCATGCCGCCCTCGCCGCCGACGTACTGGAAGTGCTGCCGGCCCCCCCTCTTCTTGCAGCCGCGTGCCGCGGTCGTCAAGGAACGCTGCTGGTATTAATACCGCCAGCGACTGGAGCTTGTTTAGGGCCCAGTGCCTCGTAAGCCCAAAGGCGACATCGACGTACGTCGCATAACGGCCGAACTCGAGCTGCATTTGTCCGCCCACACCGGCTTCGTCCGCTGACCCTCCGCCTCTGTGAATGTGCCGCTGTGGGCTCCCATGAGGCCCATCGTCATGCGCAGAAGACAGATTCGCTTGCCTGCTCTGGATAGTTGCCGTCATGATGCTGTCCTTCGTCTTTCCCGTTGAACAACAACCGTGAAAGTCGTTAGCCGGCTGGATGCGAACAGCTGTCAACCCATTTCCAAGAGGATCCTGGATCGCATGCAGCGGTCGCCTACTGGGAGTTCTCGATCAAAACCTCATCCAAGGCCCTTAACTCGTCGACACAAGCGTTCGCATCCCAGTAGTTCTTCCAGACGACTGGGAGTCTATTTGATAAAGCAGTTTAACCGCTCACAACACGACACCCATACGACCTAGCACAGTGCCTACAACACCACGCTCAACCGGTCCACGAATCACAAGCTGGAACCCATTCTCTACACCCGTTGGCGGCCAAAACTCATTGGCAAATAAAGAAAAAAACCCGGCACAGCCCCGGAAGCATCCGGATCATGAGGCAACCGAGCCACCGGCCACCCTTGAAGCACCGCCGAACTCGACCACAACCCACGCCGACCCAGTGCTTACAATTTCAAGCCCAGGTATGACTTCCTTCGAGCTCGCTAACTGGGCTAACCACCAGCAAGATACCGATCACACCGACGACGGTTCAAACGCAGAGCAGTTATTGGATGATCAACTCGCTCCGGCGGACACCACTCCAACAAGAAAGAGAAAGAAGCAAACTTGTCCGGAGCCGATCCGAAGCAAAAGGTCTACAGCGGGAACAAAGAGGGCGCGACTATACGATTAGACGCTAGTCTGGCTGAAGAAACCACATTTCCTTACTTTCCCAGCATTTGAGAATAACCATCATGAAATGAAGAATAAAAAAGAAAAACAAATGACATGGTTGACTCTCGCAACTCTAGGTGGGGAGAAGCAACTTTAATGGCAGCGATAGCTGCGTACCGCCAACTGCCAACCATAACATCACAGATTTGCAAAAAAAAAAAAAAAAAAAAACACTCAAACAACTAACTAACTAGTTCTAGAAAACGTTCCTCCAGGCTCCTTTGGCGTGCCGCGCGCAGCCGGCACGGTCACTCCTGTAGGACGGATTAATACAGTGTGAGAAATGCAGCGCAGGAAAGGGCCGACCTGGCCTTTGTGAAGCTGGGTGAGTCATTTGGTCAAGGAGCAAGTCCCTTCCCACCCAAGTTGCTGCGGTTTATCGCCCATCGCCGCGTCCTGGTCATCGCCATCTCCAAGACCCCATCGCGCCTAAATTACCTGGGCTAATCCATCACCATGAAACAGTTAGACCATCTACATCCTTCAACTCTACCGCCACTCTACGACGAAATGCCGCGCCCCGCCGTTGAACGACCCGCGATCGAGCTTACCCAGGTAGTTGTGGACCGGGACCCGGACCGTATGCCGCTGATGGGGGCACACAGGCAGCCGGAGGGACCGGCTCGCAATACCGCCCCTACAGCCCACGCCGACTCCCACCTCCTCGATCACTAGTGCCGCATCTTGGGGGCCGAGTGCGTGGCTTGTCCCTGCACTCAGCTGCAATGTGATCAGCCATGCTGCGGCATCGTCTTTGTGATAGTCCTCATCATATTGGCGCTGGCCGTGCACTTCACCTACGCAGTTTCTCTCTCCCTTTCTCGGCCCCCGGTTGTTTGATCAATCGGCGTCGCCGCCTCGGTAAGACGTCCCGCAGCCTCTTCTGACATCCCCCCAACTGATTCTGATCTAACGGTGTAGTCATGCCAGTGCCAATTGTTAAACGAGCGACAAGAGGCATTAGTCAACTTCCTCCTGTCCGTCGCGCCTCTGTCCGAGATTGGACACTTGATGATCCTGACAACGCCACCCCGGACAGAGTTTATATATGGTTATGTGGGAATGGAAGCCGCGGTGCCGTACCCGTGGCCGCGGATAAGGAGTTATGAGGTGTGTTAAATTTCACAGGACCACCTTACCCGAAATATGCTGGACCGAGAAGAAAATGGCAGGAGGTGAAGGAGTGGACCGGGAATGATGGCATTTACATTGGGGTGGTGATATCTGTGTCTTAAGATGTTGGCTCAGTTTCTCTAGCCAAGCACCCAGTGCCTGGAGGACAAGAAATCGGGTTTCAGGGGTAGAGCATGGGGTTACTATTGGCTTGTAGAAATAAACTCAAGTCAAATCCTGTGCCATAAAGCAATTTCCAAACCTGCATTGCAAAGTCTACTCGGGTTCTGAACTGAAGTCGATGGGCATCAATTGGTCGAATTACCTTACAGGTACCTACCTAAACAGTAACGCAACATATACGTGTTACAACCATCACATCATCGGCCCAACACCAGATACGCAAACCCAAGCACCCCACGGTACCCCGTCAGGTAATCCCGCTCCCTCCCATCCTCCCGCTCCCTGACCTCCCGCACCCGGGGATCATCGGGGTTAGCCAACAACCACTCCCGCGTGCCCGCGCGGTGCCGCGACTCAAAGTCATCCCACTCCCACTGGTCCGCCGTGCTGAGATGCAACACCTCCCACCCGTTCTCACGACACATGGCCACCAGCTCCCCCAACATTGGCACCTCCTCCCCAAACATCTCCCTCGCCGTCTCCGTCGGCTCCCGTTGCTCCCAGCACATCTCCCCCACCAGCGCTCGCCCCCCACACCCCGGCGGCACCAGCTCGGCCAACCTCGCCAACATCGCGCGGCTCCCGCCCAGCGCGTGCGACGACCCAACACAAATCACACGGTCCACCACCCCGCCAGACGGCGCCGGCCGCCACTCCGCAGCGGACATCTCCACAAAGGACACTCGATCCGCGGGCAGCGCGCCCACCACCACCGCCGCCGTCGCGTCGCGACGAGCCCTCTCGAGCGCGGCAAGGTCCGTGTCCACGCCGGTGGCCGTCCACGTGGGCGCGTCGTTGGTAATGTGCTCTGGGCGCGCGTTACTGTTGCTGTTACTGTGACAGAGCGCGGCGGCGCGCAGGAGCAGCGCGCCCCAGCCGCAGCCGAGGTCGACGATGTGGTTGTGGGGGGTCAGGTGGAGGTGGGTGAGGAGGGCGTCGGCGTGGGTGGGGAGAGTGGTGAGTTCCAGGTGAGGCGGGAGTAGCGCGCTTGGGCGAGGGTGGTGGGTGGGGGGGTCGGCATGGTTGCTTTACGGGGGAGGTTGTTTATTGGTTGTGGATAGATGTGATAATGGAGATGATTCAGGTTGTGGTGCAGTGTTTAGGAGTTCAATGGTGGGCGAGGTTGATGCTTGGGATTGAAGATATGGCCTGGCTCTTGAAAAGGCCCTCGACTGCGAGTATGAGTCACGCCGACCTGTTCTTGTGTACGGGACTATTCCGTAGTACTATTTCTCCACCCCACTCATACACGTTACTTTCGTAATGGTGTAGTTAGGGGTAACAAACCTGACCTGCCCGATCGGGAAGCACTTGGCGCTTTGGGATGTCAGACTCGGATGAACTCGAACACAAATCGATACTTTACGCAACAATAGCTTGTTAGCCCACTGATCAGCTGCGGGGATCTTGGTCCCCTGAACCGAGGATCAAGGACAAAGCTCGGGTGTGTGGTTGTGAAACGAGAGCTGTACCGCGAGTTGAGGTGCCAAGAAGTCATGCACTCGGCTTCAGCAGGGCCCAGGCAAAAAGCTGGACATAGTAAGAACAGCCGAGTGCCATTTTGGGCTTCTGAGCCCTTTTAAACAAGTTTAAGGCCGGGAACGCGACATCGACCGAAGATATGGTTGGCATAGAGGGCTCTTGAACCCGAACCGGCAGAACGCCGATCCGTCTCATCTGGCCCTGTTTTCCGCGCCACCCAAACGTTTGAGTCTGATCCTCAGCTAGGCGAGATCCAGGCGAGTATTTTAGGCTCAGATCGTCTTACTGGGCGGTAAGAGAGTTTTGTATGCCTGTGTTGGTGGAGAACGAAGATGGTGAAGGGACTTATAAATGCCCGTCCATCTTCAGCTTCGCAAACTCGATCTGTCACCGACCACCGCATCCACCGACCACCGCATCAATTGAACCGTCCCTTCCGAGTTGACCTCGCCTCAGGTTCTGTGAACCGTTTCATTCTTTCTCCGTACATATTTAACCAGAAGACTCCAAGCCGGCTTTACCAATCCCACGATCCTTTCACCATGTACACCAAGACCATCCTTCTCGCCTTGTTCGCGGCCTCGACGGCCTCGGCCGCCGTAATCAGTGCCCGGCAAGCCAACGGAACCGGCGCAGACTTTGGTCAGTGCAACCCGAGCATGGACTTCCAATTTGGGCGCAACGGGCGCGCCGCCGACGAGGGCACCTTTCTCCCGTCGGACCCCCTCGTCGCCCAGGGCCAGTCGGAGGCGCTGAACCCCAACATCATCACCAACCGCATCTGCGACCAGCTCACCAACGTGTGCGGCGCCAACGACGCCGCCAAGGCCCTGTGCGCCGACGCCCAGGCTCAGGTTCAAGCGCTCGGTACCAAGGACGCCACCACTGCGGATGCTTTCAATGCTGCGCTGGGCTTTTAAGGGGGAAGGATATGGCCCGAGTGCTGGCTTAGATCCAAGACCAGGGGAAAACCGGGGGGGCGGGGGGATCTCGGCATGCTCAAGGCTCAATTACCGCTGGTCAGGGATGGAGGTATAAGCTTAGCTCTGGCAAGGAATAATTGAGTTTGTGGATGAAAAAAACGACGGGCAACATACCTTATTGTAACGTGATAACGGGCACTGACATAATAAACTCTCAGAGTTGAGCCTTAGTGATTATGCTAGTGGCCATTGAAGGGTACTATCATTCTAACGTTGGTATAATTAGGTACCTGTAGCTAATGACCAGACGGGAGCCGGAGATGTCTCCTTGCCATACGAGTCCAGTATCCATCTTCCTTGTTTTCTATGCGGTCATCGCGTATGTTCCCGCGGTAGTATCAGTTATTCCCACGCGTGTTGGCATGACGTCACCGACCACACGAAGGCCCCTTGCGGTACCCCTGATATCCCCAGGGCAAGGACTGGCAAAAGGGGTATTCTATTGGTTCACTTTATCATTCCGCCTTCGAAAGACCCTTCCACAAGTGTATTGATGTCATGGGAACTGTGGCAACCTCCACTATTAGATCATTAAGGTCTGCCAGGACTTTCAAGGCATAACTACAGTAACCCCGTCGTCATCCCGCGTCATTCTTGTCTCCTGAGAGTTATTGTTTAACATCCCATACCGCCGTGGGACTCTATATAAGGTGGAAATTGTATCAATATTGCCTTTCAGAAGGCACTGATCGCCAACCTCAATCCACAACCACAAACATCACCGTCCTCCACCGCACCACACTCCCTCCAAAACCACCAAAATGTCCAACCTCCTCGCCACCCGCAAAGTCCCGCTCATGGTCGCCGCCGGCGTCTTCGGCGGCCTCCTCTACACGACCTACGGCGGCGTGCAGCAGCCGCGGCCGCGGTCGACCCACGACAACGTGCACGATGCCACGGGCGGGGCCATCTCGGAGACGGCACAGGCTATCGCAGGAACGGGTGGCCAGCGCGCCCGTTCTGGTGAAGACATGGAGTCGCTGCGCCAGTACGATCCCAAGGATACGAGGCTGCATAGCAAGGACCCGGGGGCGCAGAGCAAAAGGGAGCCGAGCAAGGTTAAGGGGGAGCAGGTTGAGGCGTCGCGGCCGTGAATGTGGGTGTGTGGCGGGGTGGCGGGGGAAGGAGAGGGATTGGTGGATGGTGTTGAGGGCGCTGGTTATTGTGTAAAGCGAGGCGGGAAGCAGAGAGGTGGGGAACTAGGGCGGGGGAAAAGAGAGGGTGTTTTCCAACAACGTTTATGCAATTGTTAGCGGCGCAGGCTTTTGGTCCATTCATGAGGGGGCGCATCTTCTCAAGCAAGGTTGACTCGTTCAAATCAGGAAGTCATTTCTCAATATCCAAAGCTACTTTAAAATACCACACACCTACACGTTGGCGTCGCTGTCCGACTTCTCAACATGTCCGACCTCCTTCTCCGCCTTCAGGTCGCCGCCCGCGTACGTGCTGTGCGGCACCCACTTGGCGCTGTTGCGCGGCGTGGCCTCGCCCAGCATCTGGTCCACTTGCTCGAGCGTCAGCCCCTTGGTCTCCGGGATCAGCAGATACGCGTAGACGAAGCAGCATGTGCAGAGACCACCCCAGATGTAAAACACCTTGGCCGCGAGGTTGCCCTTGTCCTCGTCCACCATGTAAGGGGTGATAACAGCGATGATACAGTTCCCTATGGCTAGTTAGTTCCCTAGTCTTTACGGAACAGCGTAACGGGCCTTGACTTACACAGCCAGTTCGACGCGGTCGACAGGGCGACACCCTTGGCGCGCATCGGCAGCGGGAAGATCTCGCCAATGACAACCCACGCACCCGGGCCCCAGGTAGTTGCAAAGAAGAAAATGTAGATGCAGATGAAGGCGATCATGACCTTGACGGCCGTGTCGTCGTCAGGCTTGACAGTGCCAATGATGGCCACGATGAACTCGCAAATGAGCATGCCCAGGGCGCCCCAGATCAGGAGAGGCCGCCGTCCAACGCGTTCCATGGTGTAAAAAGATATCGGGGTCGAGCAGGTGTTGACGAGGGTTGTGATGAGCGAGATGAGGAACGGGTTTTGGATGATGCCGAGTTGCTGGAAGAAGGTGGTGCCGAAGTAGAAAACGAAGTTGCAGCCAGTCCTGCGTCTTTTAAGGTGGTACTTTGGCTACTCGCAAGGGAGTGAATGGGCGAGCATTACTTACCACTGCTGCATCATCTGCATCGACGTGCCCAAAATAGTCCTCCGGAGGTAGCTGTTGGCCTTCCAGATCGAACCCCGGAAGCACATAGCCCAGGCCTGGAAGTAATTGCCGTGCGGAATCACGCTCATCTCATACTCGTGGTTGGCGACAATCTCAGCCAGCTCGTCCCGGACGTAGTCGGAATCCTGTGGCTGGTCCCTCAACCGCGCCAGTGTGACAACGGCCGCCTCAAGGTTACCCTTCTTGACGAAGAACCGTGGCGACTCGGGCAGGAAGAACAGCCCACCGGCAAGAACCAAAGCCCACGCCATCTGGAGGGCGATCGGAATACGGTACGAGCCGCTGTCGTTCCTGTCCTGCGTGGCGTAGTCCACCGAAGACGATAACAACAACCCAACACAGATACAGAACTGGTACCCCGACACGATGGCACCACGAACCTTCCGCGGCGCAATCTCCGACATGTACAGGATAATAACCGCCGACACGAAACCCACTCCAAACCCAGCAACCAACCGCCCAGCAACAATCAGCCCCAACCCGGCACTCGCAGTCTGCAGCACCACACCCACAATAAACACCGCACACCCCAAAATGACGGTAATCCTCCTCCCCAACCAATCCGCCAAATCACCCGCCATGAGTGCACCAAAAAAGGTGCCCGCCGACAGAATCGACGTGATGAGCGACTTCTTCCAGGCGGGGAGCACGGTGGCGTCGGCGCCCTCGATGACGTGGATAAAGAACTCCATGCCCATGACCCCGGAGATGTAGCCCGAGTCGTAGCCGAAGAAGATGCCGCCGAAGGCCGCGAACACGCACATCAGGTACGCCTTGAGCGTCACGGGGGCCTCGACCCGCGACACGTCGGGCATGCCGAGCGCGGGGGCGGCGCCGCCTGGCATGGTGTTGGTTCTGTGGGGGTTGGTGGACGGGGGTGGGTTCAGTCCTTGGTGGGAGGTTGATTGGGTTGGGAGGTCTGGAGGTGAGGTGTTGGAGGTGTGTTTTCGTGGATAAACCTGTTGGATAAAGATAGCACCCCCAAGGTGGCTGGCTTGATGTTTATTGTTGAATACAACCGCCCCGAGACCAGACGGAAGGTCTGGCCCTTATATACTAGCCGGGGCACATTTCGGGCGTCACTTACATGCTTCGGTTATTTCCCCATGCGGCCATCCCCCGGTTTCCACCCCAAACTTCCCCGGCCGGAGTCAATATCGTGGGGATTTCTTCTGGCCTCGTGGCATTCAACCGCCAGGACCCGCACGCCCCTGAGCTGTGGAAACAAATCCCGGTTGAAGGAGATCGTGGCCGGACATAACGTGTGGGTATCTGGATTCTTCCTGACCAGGGACAAGGGTGATTTCCCACCGGCGCTCCCGGTATCCACTACTTCTTGCTCTAGAATATGTTCAGACGGTGATACTTTTAGAGGTCAAGATCTTCGGGTTCTAATACAGTAGTGTAGTCCCGTTGGCTTTTCTGTTCCAATTAGGTATCGTACGTGTCCCTTCCCCGATGTGGCCACCAGGTCAGTATCGACCAACGTGGTCTAGGTTCCGGTGGCCCGCAAGCAGCCCGGGTACCTCGGTCTCGAGACGCTCGGTGATGCCTTCAGCCACAAGGGAGACGTGGGCTCGGCCTTACCGGCCACATGACTGGAACGAGAGCGAGCTGAGGACTTTAGCCGGCAAAACATCGTAACAGGATGATACATGATACGAGCGTTGAAGAGCAGCAGATCTTTTGTCTCGGTCCACGCTGTGGCCCACAACGACGAGCCCCAAGACAAAAAAGGAGTTAGCGACGGGGCCACTGTGCAAGAAGTAACACCGAGAAAACCCCATCACCCCTATAAGCTTAGGTCGCCCCTGCAGGCCATCTAGAACAATAGTAGAACATTTGATGGGATGACTTTCAGTTCGTTGCGCCCCTAGAAGATCTCAGCTAGGCATCGTCACAACGACCGTGCTTCCTCCAGAAACAAGCACTTCTCTTGCCGCCCGCACATGGAAAACGGCGAATCACGAACGGGCGCCAAGTAGTAAGTGCCGGCAGTCGACGGGCTTCCCGAGATATCCGTGACGGCGCCGATTCGGTCATTTTGTGGATGAGCGAGTGGAGCGTGGGCATTCCCTGTCCCTGGACACTCCCTATCAAGCGCCGAGACATGACTCGTCTTGGCCCGCAACGCCAGGATCGTTCAGCGATGGACTTGGAGACTGGCGACCGGATATAGAAGACGAACCTTCTCTTTCTCCACTAAGAAGAAAGAATTCAGCGCCGGTTAAATTCAATATAGCCTTGGCTTCATTCACCCTTAGGAGATGTCCGTTATGCTGGGACTCTCACGTCCGGCAAGGAGATGGGGAGCAGCACGCTGAATCGTTTGAACTTGACGTCATTGTGTATTGACATATCCACGGGTGCCGTGTGGCCCACGTGTTCCGAGGGGAACTCTTGAGAGTTCAGTCCTTTTTGGAACCCCCGGTCGGGGAAACCATAGATGCGTCAGGTCCACTCAGCGAAACTCGGAACATTCCATCAATTTGGGGTAAAGATAGTGTACATGAACCCGGTCGAGTATGTTGGTTTCGTCGGTGGCGGACTGAAAATCCTCAATGTCCCCCTCACAGGTGATCAAATGTCGTGTGAAGCCATCCGCCACGCCTTCGTCGAGGTTCATCGTCGCCAGGCACCTGTAAAACAACAGATTTGACATCGTTACCGGCGATTGGACCTTCACGCCGGATACATAGAGAGCTTTTAGACTCATGGGCTTGCTTCCATTCACACAGCTGCAGATGTAGCTAGAGCCCGGCCAAGGTACCTAGGGCAAGGCCCCTTTCCATCAGTTTACCACAACCATACTCACGTCCACGGCACAAGGAATGGGAACTGAATTAGATACTGACAAACCCGATAACCCCACAGCTCCTAGCGTGTCTCATGGATAGGCTTGCCGCTGACAAGCTCGAGCGGTGGCTTTTGACCTGAAAATCGGAGAAACACGACCCTCCCTGAATGGCACCCAAGAACAATGAGTGACGCCTGTAACTTCTTCGATGGTTCCGTAGGCAACACGGCCATACCCTCGGGACGGTATTCCGGCGGCAACCAAAGCACACGATCGGATCCCCAGGTGACCCACGACTTGTCCTGATCGATACCGAAACCTAAGCGCTGCCATTTCTTCTCGGTGGCCGTATCGTTGCGTAGAAGCTCAAGACTGGACGGTTGTTTGCCAAAAGCCATAATCCCAAAGTTCGTCAGGATTTGAGTTTTGAGGGCGTCAAAACCAACCACGCCGATACTCGGGTTCACTCCCTTGACAACCTGCACACAATGACCACTAGCAACTTTCCAGAGCCTTATTTCTTCCTCGCATGAGGACAGAAGCAGTTGCCCATCGGAGGAAAAGCAGAGCGACGTTGCCTTCCCAGAGTTTACCATCGTTTGTCGCTTCTTCTGACGGCGTCCCAGACATTCCCATAGGGTGATCTCGCCGTCCCCCGAGACTGCGATCTGATGAGCCACCGGGGAAAAAACAACGTACCCCACATCCCCCGTGCCCTCGGTGTACGAATTGGCAATGTCGTCACGATCAAACCTGCCATCCTTAAGATCCCAGATATTGACGGTGTGCGAAAAAGACACCAACGCGGCCCGCGTGCTATCGGATGAGACGCACGCCAGCGCTGACGGGTGTGGAATCGTGTGGGAGTAGTGGCCTGATTCGGTATCCCATACCGTTGGGTCGAGATCCCGGTGGATGAGGATGAGACAAGAGCCGTCGCCGGAGAGGGCAGCATCCAAAAGATTATCATCTTCTGGCACGACTGTCGGCTCAATTCGAGAAATGCGACGGCCGTTCATCGCGTCCCACACAAGAACAACATCGACTGAAACCGAGACGATCTTCCTTCTGTCATCCGAAAACTTTATTATTTTGATCTTTCCCTTGTGGTCCCGCTGTTCCTGAGAATTGTTCACTTCGGCCGACCCGGTCAGGCAGATCTTAAGACCCCGGGCACCCCCCACTGCCAGTTGGTCACCATCAGGTGAGAAGGCCAATGACCCGACATACTTCTCATGGCCGCCAAGCGTCTGGTGACGGCGTCTTGTTATCGCGTTCCATACTTCTACCGTGGATGCGGGCGCCACCGCAAACCGGCTGCCATCCGCTGAAATCGCGACCGGGTTTCGATTCTCCGTCAGCGATGGGTTTTCCTTGACAACGAGCTTTCGGACCTCTTGGTTTGTTCTCCAATCCCAAGCTGTCAGCATGCCGTATTTGGCCGAGACGACCAAGTCTTTCGGGCTTGGTGAAAAGGCAATGGTGGTGGTGACCGTATCGTTCCTCCAGAGGCAGTTACCAGATTCATGACTCCAGACCGACATGCCTTTGCTATCGGCTGTGGCAATCCAGAGTCCATCAAATGAGAAAGCAATCGAATGTATGGCACCCGAGCTGCTCCCCGTTCCGCCGAACTTGAGGACGCAATCCCCTCGCTCCCAGTCCCATATCTGAACCTCATCGTTCGGCTTATCGGCCACCGCCGCAAGCCAAATACCATCAGCGGAAAATGCAGCGCAAACAGGGCTGAGGTTCTTGATTGTGTTGTCGTCCCAGCAGCCCTGCATCAAATCCCAGAAGCGCATGTCTCCGCCCATTATGACGGCAAGTCGACCGCTCCAGGGCGGGAAACCAACACAGTCAGTGGCACCAGGAAATGTCCAGAGGCGAATTCCAGTCCGAAGATCCCAGACGGCAACTTCAGAAGATGGGTCTCCTTGACCTTGATTATCGCTCCGCAGCAAGGCCGTAACCCACGTCCCGTCGGGTGAGAAAGCAGCGGGTTTAGTCACGACCACGTTCCTGGCCTGTGGGGTGAGAGTTCGGATCCATGGACTCCAACGCGACCGTTCCATGCCGCTGCCGACGGTGACCCAACTCGGTTTCTGGTGTGTGAAGAGCTCCCCCATTTTGCTTTGGGTTGGGGCAAAGACGAGTGCGGAGGCGTACACTTGCAGGGGGTATGCCATTATGGATGGGGCGTTGAACTCGATGAAGGATAGTGCGTCGGTTGCGATTTCTACGACCCTTTCCGTGTTTGAGATTTTCTGTCCGGTGATAAAGCAATTAGCACCATCCCGCGAAATGGATTGTTATGGGGGTAGGGTACATGTAGATCAACAGACACTTACCCGCAAGAAGCTGATCAAACTCGACCACGATAACAGCACACGCTGGGCGCTGCCGAGCAAACTCACTGCCTCAACCCAATTCAAGAATTTCTCTCTGAGAAACTTGTGAACGGCTTCAGCATTTTTAGGGCTGAGACCCCTGTCCCCGGACGCAAGAAGATGGTCGATCCAGTATTCGCAGGCGTAACCGACTCCAGCTAGCCGTTCCCGCTGTTCAGGAGTCACATCGGCCGTTGGATGTCCGGGATGACCAAGCCTGCACATGTCGTGACGCAAAACCCTTGTCATTATTTTCAGCGATCTGGAGAACAGTTGGTGGTGTCTGCTCTCCAGGCTGGAGACGAGGAGAGTCTCTTGCGTGCGGAGAAAATCCCTGGCTGACTGACTGGTGATTTGAGCGTCTTTCTTCTTGTTGATGACGAAGAACGGTTCGCACTCTCGGATCATGCTCTCTTTAGTCACCTCTGAGTGAATTTCAGACAGAGCACAGAGTTCAGAAGAGTGTAAAGGGCGGTAAGCGGTAGCGACAGCGGTCAACGCGTCAAGGCATCCCCGTTGGATCTTGTCATCAAGATGACGGATTCGCTCAGCCGCCTGCTTATACAGACCCGTGACGTCCCGCTCTGCCTTGTCCAAAATCTCTACAAGGTCGTTGGGTGACGTCGCTCGTTGAGCTTTCGCTACCAGAAGTGATGTGTACTGGAAAGAATACACGTTTCTATCCTTGCCACGCAGTCGTTTTCGAACGGCCTCGACATTAAGTCTTTGCATGTCCGCCAGCGTCTTGGCCCAAAAATCCACGTAGGCATTCCAGGCTCGAAATCTCTCCTGCGGGTAGTCGTCGAGGTCCATACCGTGCCGCGTTGCCGTTGCACCAACGTTGAGAGCCCGAGAGATGTCGGATGCGCGATGACTGGTTAACAGCCATTTAACCCGGCACATATCCTTGGAATTTGCAGCCCCAACGATGAACTTCAGGAGGCTGTGAAGATTCTCGGTGCAATCGTTGAGTGCGTCCACACAAAGGTATATCGTCCCCCCTTTTTCTGGCTGGCTTGCGTCTTCCAAGATCCTGCGGAAGATTTTCTCGAGCCGGTACCAACTGCCCGGCCCCTCCAACGCTTTGTCGCCAGTCGTATCGCATTCTTCGCCCACAAATTCCAAAAGCTTGCGATCCGGGGTCTTCGACCGTGTTATGAGCATGTAGGCCAAGGCCCTCAACACAACCGAAGCAGTACTCGCCTCGGGGCTACCTGCCCCGCAAAAGAAGTAGGCAAGCCTATCCTCATTGCCGAGTTTCTTGGCCAGGTGATCGACGATATAGCAAAAAAGCATCGTTTTTCCAGTTCCGGGGCCGCCATTGATCCACAGGAGGCGAGCATCAGTGTCATCCCTCCATGTCTGGAATGTGGGCGGCCTGACAATCCAGTCGCAAGCGGCCAGTACGATCCCCCCCTTGGCCTCCTCGAGATGTTGCTTGTCGTGGCGAGGATCGGTGACGAAGAGCTGGCGGAGCCACTGTGCTTCTTTGCTTTCGGTTGCTGTGCGTAGGGTTTGTCGTTAGTTTCACCTTACAACAACAGAACATCGTCGAGCTCGATAGCTCGCTGATAAACCCGATCTAAGGGTCTTTGGAAGGGGAAAGGGCGACAAGCACACCGTTGATATACTGGCGGAGCTCCCCGATCGGAGCATTGATTTGGAGGCCAGAGCCAGTAACGCTGTTGCCAGTTGCGTAGGACTCTAAACTTCCTGTAGCCGGGTTACCATATGGCCCGGCCATGATGTACAAGTAAGAGGTCGTCTTCCGGGTTCGGAACCTGCCAACCGAAACCAAAGTTTAAGCTTTGCGGTCAAGAAGCAAAGGTGCCCCCCGGCTCTCAAAAATGTGATTTTCGGCGTAGTCGGGCGTGCAAGAAGGATGAAGTTAGGGGTAGCCCAAATGGTGGGGAAAGGGGTTGGGATTTGAGGTGGGGGAACACTTCAACCACGGCGGCCGTTTGATGCCCGATGGGCATGCCTGAGTGAAAAGTCTTCTCTCCGCAACCTATCGACTTGACCTTGCACTGCGGGAAGGCAAGCGGAAGAATATGCCTTGTGGTATTCAAGGCAGCGATGTGGTAAGAGAAAGAAAGGAAGCCATGTGCGTCTGCGACTGCCGACTGATGGCACCTGGGTATCGTACCTATGCAGGGCCCTCTCGTTATCCCTTGGTTTGCAGGTGGCCAAGACTAAGTACGTGGAACGCAGTAAAACTCCTCTCCTCGTTCTCTTGGGAAAAGAGAAACGGTTTATCGTGCACATGTCGTGGGTGCCGCGGCCCCCGTGTCGTGGACCGTACTGTAACCTCCCGCCACGAGTCACCTCAAGTGATTTTTTGTAGGGACGCAACTCGGTGGGCATTACACCGTGGCGTCCCCTATTGAGCCCACGTAAGGCAGGGAGAACCAGACACCTGCCGAGGGAAGACTGAATTAATCGACGAGGGAGAGTGACATCCATATGCAGGCATCGACTGGCGGAACCACGCAAGGGTTTACCATTGAACACCTATACATCACCGACGACATAGAAGCACCCAGTTTAGTAGAGTTTCTTGCCCTTCGTACCCACATTTATCAGTCCTGGAACAGTCCTCATTTTTGTCATCATACTAAAAGTACGCTCTATCCGGACAGCAAAAGCAAACAGGTGTTTCAACAGTTGCTGAATTCCTTGAACAGTGCCTTCAACTTTGCTCACAAGTCTAACTGGAACGCCGTAAGTTAACGAAGGGGTTACCGGAACTTCTTCATATACATCTCTTAGAAACTTCCCTCACCAAAGACCTAATGGAGCTGGTTGAGCGCAGGGAATGCTCAGAACATCGCTGAAGACCCGCCTCTAGGCCCTCGCCATTAAATGACGTGACGGACTTACAACATCTAAATTGATACGTTTGACTACCTAACTACCTTGGTGATTTAAAAGATGGAACTAATTGATCGACAAATGAGAGGTTGTGGCTGTCATGATCCCCAACGTCAAGTTACCCCCGGCACATTTTCCCCATCACCCGTCTTACCCCCCTCCCCCAATTCAAGCATCTTCGCTGAAACGCCTATTGCCACGCTCAAGCATTTCATAGGCTTTTTGCACCACCCGTTCCCTTGCTGCCAACTTGCCCATCAGGGCCTTCTTCTCTCGTTTGAGATCCCCGACCTGTTTCTCGAGTGCATCGCAGTCTGCGTCCGCCACTTTCAGGTCTGCCACGAGCCCAGCGTTGTCGGCCCTGAGGTCGCCCAGTTCCTCCTCCGTCCGAGCCTTGGACTCTATCAGAAGGCTTAATTCCCTGTCGGATCTGGCTTTGTCGTTCATGGCTGCGCTGAGTTGTATGTCCACCTCGGCCTTGGCCTGTAGAGCCCGGATAAGCTTCTCACCTAGTTCTCTCTGCAGCTTCTCCTTTGCGTCCCCGACCCGGGCCAGTTCAGCCTTGGTGGCAGCTAGGTCCGCCTCCACTTTGCCCTTAGCCTCGGTAATTGCGGCCGCTTGGCCCTTTGCTGTCGCCAATTCCTTCTCCATCTCGGCCCTGGTGTTGCCCAAATCCTGGGCGCCCTTGTTGGCAGCCGCCAAATCCTTCTCCAGTTTTTCCCTTGTGTTCTCCAGTCCAGCCAACTCAGTCTTCACGGCATCCAGTTCCTTTCCGAGCTTTTCGTTCGCCTTTTGAAGCTTGGATTTGGCCGCCGTGGAAAACCCAAGGACTGCTTTGCATTCAGCGAGCTCATCTCCCAACTTCTTTCGAGCGTCCGCGGTGGAAGCTGCGTCTTGCTTCGCGGCGGCCAACTCCTTGTCCAAATTCTGCTTCGCCTCGATTAGACCCCGGGCCTCCGCCTTGGAAGACACCAGCTTTTTCTCCAGATCCTCCCGGGCGGTCTCCACAGCGGCCAGCTTCTCCAATGCATCGGCCAGCTCTTTCTTCGACTTATTCCTCTCCTGGTTGTATTTGTTGTTTGCGAGCCTCCCCCTCTCCACAAGCCTGTAAATCTCATCTTCTAGTTCAGGCACATGCTGAATCTCGTCCTCGACAGTCGGGCCGGGAACGGTGTCCTCCGTTTTCACGCGCCTTTTTCTTCTGCCGCTGTCGGTACCTCTCACGCGCGTGGCTTTCGTCTCGGGGGAGGCTACCCCGGCTTTCGCCTCGGGAGAGGCGGCTCCGGTTAACGAGAGAACAGGGTTGCCGGAGGTCGAATGGGCGGGCTTGGAGGGTGCTCCATTCACCGGGATGCTCCCGGAGTCATGGGGCAACTGGACAGCCGGGTTGGCGGTGATTGTTGCTGTTGAGCTAGCCATGGGGGCGATCCTTCTGCGGATAGGTCAATATCACCCCCCAAGAACATATGGAAGGCCTGCTTTTATGTTAGACGTACGTGGCGTGTGTGTGTTTTCTGGGTTGAGAGATGTTTCCAGGCAAGAAGGTTCGGGGGGACAGGTTTTGCTCCAGCGCAAAATTGAGCACGACGGCAAGTTGATACGTGACAATGGTCAGACAATTTGGTATTGGGAGTGCGATGCTATCGATGCCGGGTTTATCTCTAGATGGCTGAGGAGCAACAAACTATTATATCTCCTTTCTAATTTCGAATTCCCGCAAAGTTAAGGTACCTACCCAAGGTACCTAATGCGGCTCAACTGTGTTCATGTTGGGAGTTGGTGTTTCTCTCGTCTTCCATACCCGTCCGGCCATCGCCGCTGGGCCGGCAGTCTCACCGTGGGGCGCCAATGGCGGACAAAAACATGGCGTCGGATTTCCTCGGCAGCCTCCGGCCCCTCTAGCGTCGCTGTCTTATCTCTATGGTTGGTCGAGAGAGTTCTCTGCATCGACTGAATCGCAAATATCCAGGTTTCTATTACCTTTGGTCCATGCTCACGGGGTCCCGAGGGTGTCAGTTGGGCGCCGCGACAGCCGACATCAGGACCTGCCACGTCTTGTATCCTGTCTTCTGGCCAATCGCCAACACGAAGAAGATAAGGATTCCTCCCAACACCGGCCGTGTTGGGTTCAATATTGTGGTCAGGAGTGGATATGAGTCACTCCCTCATGCCTGATGTCTCCATGGTCCATCTGCAAATCCAAAAAGTCCATCATGGTTCATTTCCCCGGACGCAGAAGACAAAAATCCGGAAAGTTGGCCTTGAAGGTGCGTTGGGCACGGAGCGGAAGGCTCTAGCTAGTATGGCGGGCACGGCAGCAAACCGGATCTGAGTGGCCCGCTGGAGTGCCGAAGGTAGATAGGTAGGTACCTAGCTATGTATGCATGTACCTATGTACACGTGCATGCAAGAAGGGTACTTTAGGAAATGAAGACGTGGGTGTGCGGTTCAACCGCCGTGTTCTGTCCCATGACCCCCCCTCCCCCCTAATGCCCATCAATCAGTCTGGGTACCTACATGTACTTTCACCTGGTAATCCAGGCTCAACACCCAGTCCAAGTCGAGACTCTGAAGTGTCTCGATCAAGCGTTGCTCCCTGTCCTCCATTTCCCTCATGTCCTGGTAAGTTTTCTCAAGCTTCTCTTTATCTCTCTTAATCCTCCCTCCCTCGTTTTCCAGTTCTTTCCGAATCGCGTTAGCTTCCTGCTTAAGGTCATCCTTCTCCCGCTGTAGCTTTTCCTTCTCTCGCTTTAACTCTTCCTCCCATTGCCTCAGCTCGTTCTGCTTGTTTTGCTGTGCTATGCCCCTTTCATCCCAGATCATAACCATTTCTTCCAAGTCCGTTATGGACCGTTCTGGTGGCTCAGACGCACCTGAGGTTTGGGAAACCTCATTGTTAGTGTGCTCCTCCACCAGACGTCGGCGCCTTTCCTTCCGCTTCTCTCGCTCGGCATCTGGGCTTGTCATTTTGGGGCCGGGCTGTGGACATGAATGAATAGATTAGTTAGCAACTCATCAACGCCCGCTATCCCTCACAAGTTGAGGTTGACTCACCATTTTCTGTAATGGAACTCAATTTACGGAAACGACCTAACGAGGTGGTTGGGTGCCTCGCGACGAAGTTCAAGGCTCGGTTCAAAACATAAAGCATAACCGCGTGACCGTGAACCTCAACTGAAGATCAAGTGGTGACGCGTCGTGGGGCGTCATCTATCAAAGATTCATTTTCACACCCCATGCCTACAACCGTGTCCGCATCTCGGCTCTCGGCCCGTGGCCGCAGACGAGGGACTTTCCAAGTCATACAGGAGCGTTCCCGACGCCCTGCGTGCAGATGGGGGAGATTTACCACTGGTCCACGTGGGAAATTGCTGCCACGCAACATGAAACTAATTCCTGCAGTATGTTCAGCCGGCCGGGGGGGTGGGGGGCGGCTGGCGGCCAGACCAGAACCTGATATGCATGCCGTGATACGTGGCGTTGGGCACACTTTTCAATCCGGATACGTACCTAGGTACCCCTAGCCTACCCCCCACGGCTAGGTACCTATCTATGTACCTGTTGATGAAGATGGTGTGCTGCACTCCGCTGCTTGTCTCTTCCTAATTAGATAGGTAGGTACATACCCAAAACACGCCACGCATCGGCCCGTCAACGCGCTGTCAGTCCTCGATGGCGCCTACGTCGCGCTTCCCTGTTCAGGTATGGTGTCGGCAGAAACATAACCGATGAAACTGGGGTTCTGTTGTTTCAGTCCTCCGTCGGTATGCCGCCAACCCGACGGTGGCCGGAAGAGTGAAGGCTTTTCTCGCGTCCAGCTGCATTGGCACCCCTGCCACCTGCTGGGTTTGCCCAGGTGGGCATGCCACTTGATGCGATGCTCCTCCAACCACTTAGGTGCATTGGTGGTTTTCCGACCGCCGCTGCCGGTGTGAAAGCTCTTGCCGATGCGAGACATAACTAGGGTAGCTGATTGGACATGGGAGTGCAGGCCTCCAAACCACACCATCCCCCGGTCGAAACTCTGGAGCCTCATTATGAGCCCTGATGCTTCCTACCCCGGGCTTGGTTCTCCTCAAGCCTTCCTGATCCTTCAGTCCTAATACGTCGTGAGATAATACCTGCCTAGGTACGCAGAAGCAGATCCCGCTCATACTGCCACTCCAAGATGCAACACCTCGGCGCTTTGTGCTCCCTCGATCCGCAGCCCGCCTCGACTGATAGCCCGAGTTTCGAGTGAGTCTCCCCGAAGTCGTAAAGTCATGTAATTTGAGCATTGCCAACCGCCATGTTGTTGTCCTTTCTTGCAGCGTTGTCCTGGTCCATGGGCGCGGAATCAATGCCCATAAAATATGGGCTCCCCTCTGGTCCCAGGAGTGCGTCAAGTTTGGGGAACAGCGGACAATGAGAGTTTTCGGATTCGAGTACCGAGACCTCGTCAACAGTAGCTACAGGGTGCAGTCAATCCGGATGTCCGCCGAAAAGCTTCTCAAAGACTTAATCAGCCAAAGATCGGGCAACACAGAGATGCGCGCTATTGTGTTTATCGGACACAGCACCGGCGGCGTCATCATCAAACAAGTAAGTTTTCAGCCCTGAGAGGGACTGAACGACGCCCCTTGACACTATGATCAGGCCCTGATTCTTGCTCGACGCGACCCGCGATTTCGGAACATCGCCTACTCTGCGTGCGCGACCGTAAGGAATCTCCTCGCCTGATCGGCGGTTGGTATTGATTCTAACTCAGCTTATAGGTCTTCTTTGCAACCCCACACCGTGGTTATGAAGATGTCATCCCAAGAATCTTTGATGCGGACTCCTTGAACCGGCGCGTGGGAATCAAAACCCCGTTTAGTCTAGTACGTGAGGGTGACATCAAAAGCCTCAACGACATCTCAACCGAATTTCTTGAACTATACGGTAGCGATCTTCTGTTTCGAAACTATGTAGAAAGCAGTCCTCCCGAGGGATGCAAGAACCGGGTAAGAGCCTCCCGTGAATTAGGTACCTATCCTTTGGCAGCATGGAGCTCAAAGTATAGCAAACCTAATCCAGGGCTAACACGAACGTAACCATTTTATTATAGATTGTCGAGGAGGACAACGCAAGCCTAGGTTCGCGCTGGCCTGATGAAATCAGTGACCAAAACCACTTCCAGATCTGCACTTTTGTCAAGGCAGGGGATGGCCCCGAATGGCTCAAGTTATTCACCGACCATGTAAAAAAGCAATCACCTAAATTTAAAAGTAAACAGACAACCTTTCTACCTCAAGTATCCTATCAGATGTGGAAGATCTTATGGCTAACTTTTACTGGTCGGTAGGGGGTGACTTCCGTGAAGAGAGATACAAGTTGCTCCAATCGCTCAGAACCCGCGATATTCTTCTTCCTCTCCCCTCCAAGCCTATCGTGCCAACGGAAGGGACCTGTGACTGGATTCGAGGGCAGGAATACTTTCGAACATGGTTCGATTGGCTAAACAGCCACAGGAAGCTGTGGATCACCGGTGAGCTTGGCTGCGGGAAGACTTTCCTGGCCGAGCATATCAGGTTGCTTGCTCTGAACCAACTCCGGACTGATCCTTACAAAAGCGACCTCGTAATTTTTTTCTGGCTCGGCTCTATGAAGGGGGGTTTGATCACACCGAGGAAGATGTTGGCATGCTTGCTCCACTCGATTCTTGTCAGCTATCCGGAAGTCGCTGTTTTCCCCAGGCAGCAGCAGTCTGGGCCATCGACCGACGAAGACGTCGAGCGTCTTTGGTACGACACGATTGTCAATATTACGGGAGGATCCTCACCCCGGCGTTTAACACTCATCCTGGATGAGGTGGATCGATTAGTTGAGAACCACAACCATCCGCAGTTCGGGCCAGTATTAAGAGTCCTGTCTGGCGAACCGGACGATCCAACTATCCGGTCAGAGCTAGACCCTAACCGGATCCGAGTATTGGTATTTTCCCGTCCTGGCGGCCATCACAGCGAAGCCCTCAAAAGATGGTGCAACCAGCGTGTGAATCAGATCCCACAGAACGAGACAAAAGGTGACATCAAAAAGACCGTGGAGAAACGACTAGACATACTCGCAAGAATCCACAAACTCCATGATCAGGTGAAGGCCGACATCAGCGAGGAAATTCGGCATATTGCCGGCAACATGTACATCGTGGCCCACCTCGCGCTCATAGAAATTGCCAACGCCCCAGAAAAGGAATCAGTTCGTTCACGAATCCGAAACAGCATCGCCGGTTTTTATGACAGCATCCTAGGCCGCCTAGCCCTTGGCGATAAAGCTGGTGGCGAGACCAACGAGGTGAACAGATTTCTGTATAGTGTTCTGTTCTGGATGGCCCATCAAGGTCATGCCATGAACGCAGAAGAGCTCCAGATCGGGCTGGCGATGTTGTTCAAGGTTGGCTGCCCGGTGGGATCGAATTCCTACCAGGGAGTCGTGGACAAGGAGCTGGCCTCGAACCCTAAAACCGGGCACCCCAATCTGACGCGTGACATTCTGCTCAAATGCACACCGCTCGTGAGGCGGCGGTCCGATGGCTGTTTCGAACTTATCCACAGGACGTTGAACGACTTCCTTACCACAGCTCCAGAAATGTTCGAGACGCTGGCGAACCTCAGCCACCACCGACACTACGCTCTTGGCGACGCAAGGGCTGACGAGATTATAAGTTCGCTCTGCGTGGACTATCTGCTGCTGCCGTTCTTCGAGGATGCTGGAAAAATGAACCTGCTCCCCAAAGACTGGGTAGACAAGGTAAAGAAGCGAATGGATGACAACCTGTTCGTCGCCTACGCGGCCCGACACTGGATTTACCATGCCAAGCTCTCATCGACACCCCTTCAGGTCAACTGGGCCGAAGTCAGCGCGTCTTCCTGCCGGTACCATCTCCTTGACTTCAGCAAGCAACATGCCATCTCTTGGGCTGAGGTGTGGTGGTACTACGTCAAGTGGCCCGAAAAGTGTCACCTTGCAGGTTCAACGCTTCAGGATCTTGATATCACCGAAAGGTTGAGGCGGACGGACCTGATGCAAGCGGACAAGTTGAATCTCGCTCGAGGTTTAACAAGACCTCCACCACAATCTTTACATCCCAATGGTTCGACCCTTCTCCTTGAGGGGCCAGGTTCCCTCTCCGAATTCTCCGGCTCCCTCTCTACCGCTAGTAGAGAGGGTTGAGGATTTAACAACACCTTCTGAAGCTTCATGTCCCCGAGCACGGGAGCTCGACCCCCAGGTTCGAGGGGCTCGGTCTAGCCCCAAGCCCTCCTTCCGCCTCTCGGACTACCGCCGGTTGAAAGCGTTGAGAATTTGACAAGAAGTTCACAAGCTTCATATTCCGAGTGCGGCAGCTTGACCCCCAGTTTCGAGGCGCCGAGTCCAGTCCCAAGTTCTCCAGCTTCCAACCTACCTGAAAGCGACGGGGGTCTGACAGGACATTCTCAAATATTACATCCAGGGCGTGGTAGCTCGATCTACAGCTTCTGAGGGGGCCAGGACAGGGCCCTCGATCTTCCAACTCCTGAACCGCCGCTGGGTTCCACCTGTCGAAGATTCTCCTACCCTCGACGGCCTCTCGCCACTCACCATGAAAAAGCCCTCAGAAACTTTTATAGATTTGGGAGAATCTTCAGCCTGCTTTGGGGGCCACCCTGACAGCTTCCGGGGCGGCCCGGTAGGTCCCAGTCACGGGATAGACAACCCAGGAATATAG